TTTCGTAGAGTAAAGCGCGTATTTTATCGGCACTTTCTACCGACAATTATGTAATTCGTAGCGAAACCTGTCTGTGAAAATAACGGAGCGTCGAAATCGTTAGATTAGAGCATATAATATAATACAATTGGCATGGATCACTGACTCTCGCGGAACGATCACGACCGAAACCGCGCTTCTTGCTGGAACAAACATATGTACATTTGTATTTTTATTATATTTGTGCTGTCTGTTCTCTCTTATAAGGTTTTTTTTATTAGAATAATTGTGCATGTAAGAAATATAAACATAATAAAAGCTGTTTACCCAGAAGTTTGTGTTTTTTATTTCACATTTCTGCTTGGAAATTCATGGGAATGAATGAATAACTATCTTTTAAGGACAAGATTCAATAGATATGAAGCTAACAGTATCCTATGCTTTCTTAAAATTTTTCTTAACATGGTAATTACAATTATAATATATAATGATCATAAACTTCAAACTTGAGCATAGTATAGTCATGTAATCATAGTAGTCATGTAATTCCTTTTGTATTTCCTTCTTGAAATATTTATTTTAGAAATATTGTCTACTTTGTATTTTATACAGATTGATGATTTGCTATTGAAATGTCCTTGTGTTACATATTGGTTACTTTGTCATACGTTCCATAAGAAAATTTGATCTGTTTCAGGCGATGAAGAATCAGATGTTCAGCTTTCTAGTTCAGTTACAAGGCTTTCGGCTGAAGGTAAATATTACACAGTCAACATACAATCTCTTTTAAAATTTACAAACATATAATCTTGTTAAAAAAGAATCTTAATTGCTTTTTTAACAAGATCATTTTTGTTTCAGACATTGATTTATATGGATTCTGCCCTGAAAGAGATACTTTTTACACGGTAGTGTGTGAAACCTGCCATGCAATAGTCAAACCACAAGCTCTCATTCAACATATGGGTATGTCATTGTATAATTCTATTCCTTCTGTTTGTATAATACTGTTATATATAATTTTGTTATCAATTAAAGACCATTTTACTTACCTCAATGGAACAATTGTAACTGTAAACGTAACTGTACCAAAGCCATAAGTATTTCCTAGATAACGTAGCCTTTTCTTTCTAATAGATATCTTTCTTCCAAGTCTAGTAAGTCTCTAATATGTAGTAATAAAGAATAATTACATTAATGTAATTACAAATAATTAAACTGTTAAAATTATAAAATATGTAACTCACATTTATATAGCTCAACTATTCTTTATCCAAGGAATTTGTGCACACTGCACAGAGATTACACTACATAATATTGTTGATATTTTTCCATAGAAAGTCGCCATCCTTCCGGCACGGTAAATTTTCCACCTCCCTCCACCCCGATTGTAAAAACTCCTCTGAAGACACCGTCGCCGCAGATCTCAAACAGTGGGAGCAATAAGAACAATCACACGAACGTGAAACGGAATACGAAGCAGCCGAACATCTCAACGAGCTTGTCATCTTCATCGATATCCATCTCACCGTCACCTCGATCGCCTCTCGAGTCGTTACCATCGACTGTGCCAACATCGAACTCTGGGTCGGGACCTTTGATCACCTCGAGTCCTGTGAAAAGTCCTGGCACGGCGACCGGTCAACCTCGTCGAAAGAGACTGAAAACCGACCGATCGTTGCTCAAAGACCGAGAGTACGACCCGGATCGACACTGTGGTGTGTGGAACGAGGAAACAGGCAAACCCTGTACCAGGTCGCTCACGTGCAAAGCGCACACGGTCTCGTTACGGCGGACAGTCGTCGGTCGGAGTAAAACATTCGACAAACTCCTCGCGGAGCATCGTGCCTCGAAGGAGATCTCCAACAGGCCGACGAAAGTAACCGTGACCGGTACAGTGACCGTGTCCTCCGGGACCTCGAACTTGAACCCCTTAACACCCACCACCCCCGTACTGACCATCGAAACGGAAACACCCAGCTCGCCACCTGTTCTATCGCTGCCAGACACGTATCCACTGCCAAAGGTAAGAAGTATCATCATATCATTTCTTTTTATATGTTTTTTTTTTTTTTTTTTTTTTTAATTCGATTTCCCTTCTGTCGTATATCCTTGTTGGTACGAATGTACGGTGTGATGATCCTTCGTGCTACGACGTCCTGTTGTTTCGTTTCCATCGTTATATACCATTTTCTTTTTTTCTTTATGTATACGAGTTAGCAACTGTTTGTTGTATCGTGTCGATTACGCATTGTAGATGTTTGGATGGTGTTTCTGGAAGAAGGATCTGATAATTATTATTCGAGGAATACAGAGTAATTTTTGTTATCCTGGTTTGGTTGACTGGAAATGAAAGTTGCGTCTCGTTGGGTTGAAAGAAAATTCGTTCTCTGTTGGATGTTGAAAGAATTGTTATTTTTGGACATACGTATTTCAGGCGTCGGCGTACTTTGTCGCGTAATCGTTGCTTCAGTTTTGTTAGGAATATTTCGTGTATTTGTTGAATGGTTCAATGCTTCGAGGGAAATTTCGTCGAGTTACAGTATATTAGATGTTTTTCTTTTCCTTTTTTTCTCGATAATATGTGTCGGTAGCTTACCTTTTTTTTCTTTTTTTTTTCAATTTTGTTTTTGTGAAGCTATGGATGTGATATCTGATCGATATTTAATGTGTTATCCATACATTAAAACTTTCATTTCTTGGTATCATTTGATGACAAATATTAGCAAAATTAAGCGTACAGTGGAGTAATTAGCCTCTCTCTTTGTTTTCTTCAGATTCAGATTTCTGAATCCTTTTATTTGAAGTACTTCTGTCTGCATTTCACTTTCAGTGCAAAATTAATCACGAATTAGAGCGTGCATCAGCTGACGTTTCAGAATTTTTTTAGAACAGTTGCAAATTTTCGGCCGTCGAGTAAACGAAAAATCTATCAAGTTTCAAAAAATCTCGAGCTTTCTTCGTTAAAAATTCCGTAGCGTCTTTAAGAAATGTACGAACCTCCCTGGGATCGCAACTATCGATCAACCATGTCGATCTGTTTAATTGAAAAGAGAATCACATCGTCGCAAGATATGCCGAGTCAATGGCTTAGAAGTAGAGAAAAACCAAATAGAATCAATAGAAATTAGATTCGAAAGAATAGCAGGCGATACAATGATTGTAGACGTTCGTACAGATTCCCACCGATTTTAAAATTTAGTCGTGCCGTCGAGTTTTAGAAGGCGTCAGGTGTCTCAGGTATCAGTCGATACCCGAAGATCGTTCGCTTTCGTAGATCTCTTAAGACGCATTAGACGGAAGATAGCGAGGCTAGAAAAAAAAAAAAAAAAAAAAAAAAAAAAAAAAGAAAAGAAACGAATCGAAGAAAGAGAATTAGTAATGTGGCTGACAAACATGGATCGATCGACGAGCCAGGCGAGTCAGCTGCGAACAGTAGCCCGCAAGTAGGGTGTCGGTTGATACCTGTTTTCTGTTTTTGTTATTGCAGGCTGTTGATTTGCTTTATCGGTGTCTGGCCCCGCATGGCTCCACTAAACCTGTAAGGCATGGTTTCTTTTGGGCACTTAAACGCCAACACTTCGTATGGGCCCTACGATTCTTATTGCGAGTCGCCAACGCTTCTCTTTTTTAGACCAAGCTCGAAGAGGACTTCGCCAACGAGGAGCTGAGGAGCCTGGAGTCGTCGCTAGTGAATTCGACCGGTTCGTCACAGTCGAGCTCGATGATGGCGCCGATATCCGTGGTGTTGCCATCGTTGTCACCGTTGCCGGCTAATAACGAGGAATCGATGTCGTCGGTCGCCACGCTGATACCGAGCACAGCATCCCCAGCTATACCGGTGCCAGCAACACTGCCAGCCACGTGTGCGCAACCGTCGTTGGTCACGACGGTCCTCGAGGCTGAGACACCGATGGACATCGATCCGGAGGCAGCAATGACCATCTACTCCCCCGTTTACAAGGATAAATCCAAGTTGCTGGTCGAGCTACCACGTTCGAACAATATCGCCCATTCTCCTATATCGTCTATGCCCAGCCTGCTGTTCGACTCTATGGATCAGCTGGAACAATTGGAACAGCAACACGCGACGCAGATCAATGGAAAGAGACTGAATCACGCGGCACGCTCAAGTCCCGTTACGCAACGACAGCCGAAGAGGACCAAACACGACTACCATCAACAGGATCTGTCCACGGCGATACAGGTTGAGGCTACGACCACGTCCTCGCCTTATCCTCATTTCGGGGATGTATCTTGGTCGAACTGTCACCCGGAGCCACTGGCTGTTAGTCGGTGGCTTCGTATTTCGTCCAGCCGTAAGCAGTACAACTTTAATATTCACTGACATAAGACCCCACCCACTCCAGGCTGAGGACCGTGCGCCACAGGCGTTTGTCTACCTCTTCTTTTTTTCGAGATCCTTTTTTTCATGGTTGTCCTCGTCGCCGTCGTTGTTGATGGTCTTGGTCTGAAGCCTGTCGAGAAGGGGGCAAGTCTTGATGTGCGGTGAACTTCGATGTGATGAGCATGCGCACGGTGGAAAAGAGGAACACGTGGGCAATTCCGGTCGTACGTGGAATCGAAATCGATGGCGATGTATGTGTTTTGCATGCTTCATTCTGTCTGCCGAATACGATAGGATATATATCTCGAATATCAGGAAACATACCGATAGTCACACACAGATTAACGGTCCTTTCTTTTTGTATCGCAATGTCGTCTCTATTCTGCCGGGTGATGATGGTTTCGTTTGAAAACCGGCACACCACCGAGGTTGCTAGGCAGGCTAATCGCATTATTGGATCGCTCGCTTTAGAGGATGTACAACTGAAAAAAACAAAACAAAACAAAAAAAAAAGAACGGAGTTTTTCGCGAACGAGAAAACAGAAGCACGTTTCAGATTTTGTTTTTTCATTTTTTTCTTCTTTTTTTTTTTTTTTTTTCTTTCTCTCTCGTTTAAAGGGAAAAGCGACTCGTCGAATTTATATACGATATTCAAAAATATTTATATACGATATACAAACATTCCTGGAACATTATCATTATCTCCGTTGTTGGACTGTTTTTTCGAAAGACCAAGTGGAAAAAGAAATAGCACGTCTAATACTATTCGCGAAGTTGTTGCTTCTGTTTCGATATTTGTAGTTTTCGCGGAAAAACGTACGAATCATCGAGTGATGCAACAATAGAAACACTAGCCCCACTTTCAAGTATTATACTGGCAATAGATAGGATTAGAGGACATTGACTGAAATATATGTGCATATATATATATACATATATATATATGTGTGTACATATAATTGCTTTTTCCACGAAATGAATTTTTTATTAAAAGTCGTTGCGAATCTCTCTCGGTGTATATTGGTATACATATTTCTGATTGCCGCGTTTCACCGTGGCAGCAGTTCGACATGGAAAAAAAAAAAAAAGAAAAAACAGAAAATAGAGGAGGGAAACTATAATAGAAAAAGCAAAAAGAAAGGAAACAATGTGAGATTGGGAACTCGGAATGTTAGCCGGAACAAGTTAGAGGTCGAGGTTTTCAACGGCGAGAGAAGTGACGCGATGATGTTACGTGGAATGAAACGACATCGAATCTTAGACAATTAATCCGTGTGTATGCGTGCTTGTGTAAAGGATAAAGGATCACGTGACCAGTTGACAAACATAAAGGGAAAG